CACACATTGTACAAAAAAGCTCATTTCAAAGCACAGGACTTTTAAAAGTTCCGCTACAATGCAGTTAACACAGAGTAATCAATGCAGTGATTTATTTGATTTCAGTTAAAGAATAAGCAGCTAAATGCTTTCAAATATTGAACAATTAAAACCATGTTGTGAGATTAAATGTAAAAAAGGATGAATTAAGACATTTCTGCTTACCTTCATTTGATCCATGGCAAACGTCAGCTACAAATCAGGTCCAAGCTTGTCCAGAACTCTAGATTACTCAAGCCAATTTACAACAAACATTACAGCTTTGACCAAATGAGCCTATGGTGTTGATTTTATTAACGACTGATACAAGCAAAAATATTTGTAATTAAACAAGTAAATTGAATCTGAGAATTTTTAGGTGTTTTGATTTAGTCTATATGTGCTCTGCTGTACGGAGAGGTAACAGTTATTTCAAATTCATTTCTCAGTGACAAACAAACAAGCAAAATACAAGCAAAAATATTTGTAATTAAACAAGTCAATTGATGTCTGCTTAAGCAGATTGTGTAGTCGGTTACTAATTTAGTGGAAGTCAGATTTTAGAATTTCTGATTCAGAGAAAAATGCTCTAAAAGAAAAAAATGTTGTGTGCTTGAGTAAAATGTTATTTATTTCTTACAAATTAGAAAAAAAAAGTAATTTAGCCTTTTTTCGCATGAAAGGACAAAGGTGGCGGCACGGTGGCTCAGTGGAAGGAACCCTAGCTGGGTCAGTTGGCATTACTTTATGGAGTTTGCATGTTCTCCCCATGTTCACGAGTGTTTCCTCCGGGTGCTCCGGTTTCCCCCAGTCCATAGACATGCGGTAAAGGGCATTCACTGCGTAAAACATATGCTGGTTGAGTTGGCGGTTCATTCCGCTGTGGCGACCACTGATAAATAAAGAGACTCAGCCGATGAAAAATGAATGAATGAATTGAAAGTTTGAAATGTTTGAATTGAAGGTGTCATCTTTTCAAACAAGTACGTAATAAAAAACACAATACCAATGTCTTTAAAGACTTAAGAAACCAAAATATTAGCTATTTGGTGGAATACATTTTTATCAGACCAAATTAAAACATTTGTTATTGTTAGACCAATTGTCTTTGAGTTATTGAAAATGTATTTAATTTAATTGTCATTTTTAATAGCTAAGACATGCTGTCAGACCTCAGATTTTACCCAAACTCATACGTGATAAATTCAGCAAATCTGAGAATTTTTAGGTCTTTTGATTTAGTCTATATGTGCTCTGCTATACGGAGTGGTAAGTTATTTCAAACTAATTTCTCAGTGACAAACAAAGCCAGCTTTGTATAATTCTATATTAGTGAGGAGTCTGCGAGCTGCAGATGCCTTTGAAAAGGGCATAATATTGACACATGCTCCTGACATCTGTCTGCTTTTATGACATTAGTGCGGTGATGGATGAATGTGGTGTAAACAGGACTGCTGTATTCTGGCATGATCTGTCAAGCTGCTGCACAAAAGTGAACTGGCTCTGAGCGGCTCAGCAGATGGAAAAGGGTCCGTCTCGCAGCATGGCTCTCGGGTCGGAATCCACACTGGAGATTTGCCAAAAGGCTCCTGCCCTCTGCATGAAGTCTGAGTTTATAATAATGAAACATCTCTAAATGCCCATGCTCTCTGATGGAATTAACACTTGTCAATAAGACAGCTAAAAGGCTCAATTAAACGTGACCTCCAGACATGAATGGATTTGTGAGTCAAGGAAGGAATAATTGCCGATCAAAGTTTGATCATTAAAGATGTAAGGTTGCAAATTAATTATTTCAATTTTAAGCACAATTGTAAAACACTAAAATTGTGAAAAATTGAATGGATGCATATCTCCATTTCTAAAAATGTATGAGGGATCTACGGAATTCAGTCTTATTAAATTTAGATAATTTCTATGTCAATTAATTCCCCTATACTTAATGTTTATACACTCACCGGCCACTTTATTAGGTACACCCTACTAGTACTGGTTGGGCCTCCTTTGCCCCTTCAGAACTGCCTTAATCCTTCATAGCATACATTCACAAGGTACTGGAAATATTCCTCAAAGATTTTGATCCATGTTGACATGATAGCATCATGCAGTTAAGCAGATTTGTTAGCTGCACATGATTTACTCATGCGTCAGCAGGCAGTTTTTGTTGTTTATTTTTTAATATAGGGTGCGTGAATAGTGTATTGAATAAGCTAAATTAGCTGTAGTGTATGAGTGTGTGTGTGAATGAGGGCGTATGGGTGCTTTCCGATACTGGGTTGTGGCTGGAAGGGCATCTGCTTCATAAAACAAATGCTGGAATAGTTGGCAGTTCATTCCACTGTGGCAAACCCCTGATAAATAAGGGACTAAGGCAAACGAACATAAATGAATGAAAAGTGTATTTTTTACACTTACAAATAACAAAATTGTGGACAGTATACAGGAATTTAATTAAGATTAGTATCTGTATTTATTTATTTCATATATATGGCTTTTGTCTTTTATAAAATAGGAGTTGATAAACACATTGGACACGCACATAAACATAGCATTTTGATTGAATGCAGTGGGCCGCTCTGGCCCAAAATGCCAGGGCCGATTTTTTGCCCCAGTCCAGCCCTGTGCACATCCATGATGAGAATCTCATGTTCCACCACATCCCAAAGGTGCTCAATTGGATTGAGTCTGATGACTGTGGAGGCCATTTGAGTACAGTGAACTCATTGTCACATTTAAGAAACCAGTCTAAGTTGATTCATGCTTTATGACATGGTGCATTATCCTGCTGGAAGTATACGATGTGTACACTGTGGTCATAAAGAGATGGACATGGTCAGCAACAATACTCAGGGAGGCTGTGGCGTTGACACAATGCTCAAATGTTAATTGGTTATGGTACTCAAAGTGTGCCAAAAAATATCCCCCACACTTTTACAGCACCACCATCAGCCTGAACCGTTGCTACAAGGCAGGATGGATCCATGCTTTCATGTTGTTGATGACAAATTCTAACCCTACCATCAGAATGTCACAGCAGAAATCAACACTCAATCCGGGTCTTCTATTGTCCCATTTTGTTGAACCTGTGTGAATTGTAGCCTCAGTCTCCTGTTCTTAGCTAACAGGAGTGGCAATCGGTGTGGTCATCTGCTGCTGTAGCCCATCCGCCTCAAGGTTGGACGTGTTGTTTGTTCAGAGATGCTCTTCTGCATATCTCAGTCGGTGGTAACGAGTGATTTTTGGAGTTACTGTTGCCTTTCAGTCAGCTAATAGTCTGGCCATTCTCCTCTGACGTCTGGCATCAACAAGGCATTTGTGCCTTTCTCTGTGAACCCTAGAGATGGTTGTGCGTGAAAATCCCAGTAGATCTGCAGTTTCTGAAATGCTTATTCCAGTCCATCTGGCACCAACAGCCATGCCACGCTTTAAGTCCCTTAAATCATCTTTCTTCCCTATTCTTATGCTTGGTTCGAACTGCAGCAGATTGTCTTGACCATGTCTACATGCCTAAATGCGTTGAGTTGCTGCCATGTGATTGGCTGATTAGAAATTGGTGTTAATGAGCAGTTGGACTAAAAGTGGCCGGTGAGTGTTTCCATATACATATTTCTATATTCATCCATCCATCACCATCCATCTATCTTTGATGAATCAAATACATTTGCTTCTTGCAAACCACTAAACTATTGAAATCAACATTTATATATCTTATTATTCAGGCATATACTACTAGTTAACTAATATGTTAATAAATGCTTTATTAACTAAATTTCATGAAGTTTTGTGACCTAATCTAAAGTGAGGACTATTTATGCTTTATAAATCCATTATAAACGACAAATAAAGGCTCAGAATCAAATAAACAATAACATTTGCAATTTTTTCTATAAACTCTACAGTGATTTTATTTTAGATCAGGTTGCAAAGATTTATTTTTCATTTGAAGTACAGTTTCATTTGTGTATCTTTAAATGAATAGGAATAAATAATGTCTTTTTTTCCTGTTTTGAATTTAGCTGAGCCTTTATTTGTCATTTATAAGGGATTTATAAAGCATAAATAGTCCTTACTTTAGATTAGGTCAAAAAACTGCATAAAGTTGAGTTAATAAAGCATTTATTAACATATTAGTTATCAACTCATTCTGAATGATCATAAAAACCCTCAACTACTCCTAAATACAAATGGTTTGTAAATAATGTGATAATTAAGTAATGAAAAATAAATCATTAAATTATTAAGCACATTTTAAATATGTGTGTAAGTCAAGAATAGAGCATTTGTAGCTGCAGTTATAAACTGCTTACTAACGCTTATTAATATAGAGTTAATGCTTAACAGATTATGAATTCACTATTTGCTAATGCTTAATAAATGATTTATAGTGTGTAGTTATTATAAAGTTTTACCAAGATTTTTAGGTAAAAAAATAGCTCAGCAGCAAGTAACATATACAAAGAGCAAGTAAATAAGGTAAATGTCTTATACAATAAATAAATATGTATATGCAAAGTAAATAAAGAAAATAACTAATAACAAGTAAAAAAAAATAATAAGAAAAGCAAATAATGAACAAACACAAGTAAATACAGTCAAAGTGATAAAGTAAAGAAAAACAAGTAAATAAGAAGTAAACTAATTAGGTATTACGTAAAGTACCAAACAAACTAAAGTAGCAAATAAATAAGCAAACAAGAAACAAACTAAATAAGTGAATGAACGAATCATAAATAATAACCAGAGACTGGAACAATCTCTGTAAATAAACATGATATTTATTTAGTTTGCGAAAAAAAAAATAACTCAGCTCATGCAATTTAGTTTGAAATCATGTAAACAAGTTCATTTTGATAGATGCTGAATGTGCACAACAGATCTGAAGACCTGAAATAGTAAAAAGGAATGCATTTTCGCCAATTTCGGAAAACAGAGCGCTAATTTTGCACCAGAACATTAATTGGACACACAAAAAAAAATAAACGGAAACAAGAAAGATGTGTCTGTTTATTGCTTTAGCGATCGACCTGCCACCCTAATCAATCAGTTCCACACAACAAACAACCTTTGATCGGGAATGCTTTAAAAAATGCATTTCTTCAGTTTAAGAATTAAGCAACTTGAGGAATGAGCACACTTAAGTGTTCTTGAAAGTGTGCGTTTTTCAAGGATTACAACAAACCGAATGAAAGATTCATTTTGGTCAGCGGTACATACTCGTATAGCAAAACCAAAGGCGGATGGATACAATTCTGTTTAACAAAGAGTACCTGGCTTTACTTTACTGATAAATATCAGACATTCTGTGCCAGCCAGCAGTCTCTAACCCAAGATGTGTTCATCATCTGCGATTCACCATTCATGAAGTTTAACCTATTCAACCAGCCAGGGGTTTATCCAGAAAAAAAGGATCTTTCCAATTTCAGTGTGATATTTGGAGGTAGAACTGCAGAACAAACCCAAACGCTGCTATTAAACAGAGCCATAAATTGCAAAATGGGTTTCCTGCCATTCGTATGGTGAAATGGCACAGCTTACCTAAGCTCATTTGTGTGGGTGGGTGTGAATACTTTTAACCAAACATGAATACACAAACCCAGTACATTTTTTTATGATGTCACAATCAATAGACCATAAAAATATATATCATGCTGTAGATCTAAGTATACACATATATATTTATATATATATATTTATATAGTATGAGAGCTCCCAGTATTAACACTTGTAAAAATCTTAACAGGCACAATAGTGTTACCCTGGATAGGAATGTTAGAGAAAAACAAAAGAAACGTTCTCCCTTTTGAAACATCAACAACAGAATACATCATTACCATAGAAAAAAAAAAAGAGAATATGCCGTACATTTGATAATCATCTAAAGAGGCTAATATAGACAGAATATTGCTGAGATCATAATAGTTTTCTTTAAAAACTAACCCATGTCATAAAAAAACACAAGGAAACAACATAATCCCCCAACGTTTATACAGATTCAGTAGTATTAAATGCATAATCCGCTGCACTTCTCAATTAGTGCACAGACTGCATATCCAGCACAGTAGTAAAGTAAGGCCTCAATCATTTTTTGTTGGCAAAAAAAAAGGAAAAACAAACATATACATCTGTCATAATTAGACTTTCTAAACCTAGAAAACTCATGTGCAAATATGTGAATCTTACAATTTGTGGAGTAAGTCAGCGAGTGAGAAGATGATGCGAATGATATCAGTCCCTCCTGGTAGAGGTCGCTTTCCACTTTTAACACAACAGCAGAGCTGTTAGTCCAGTTCTGATGCCATGATTTCATGTGGATTGTACACATATCTTCTTCAGTTTGTCTATCTCCATCTGGAAAGAAGCAGAAAGACACTTTTTTATTAAACAGCAGAGATGCTGATGCAGTATAGAGATTCTGTTAGACTTTAGAGAAGGAAACATTTTCACAAAACAACAAGATTCACCTCAAAAAAAAAGAAAAAAAAAAAAAGAGAAATGCTTGCTTATATATTGAATTGTTTTCCAAGTAAAAATGTCTGATAGCTTGTGTAGTTTTTATTACATACACACACCCACGGTTTATGAGGACTTACAATTGGCGCAATGTATTTTCTTATTATATGGCCCTACCACTAAACCTAAAAAGACTGAAGAAATCTTAAAACCTGAAGATTCTGGTTTTTTTACAGAATCTGAAAAGCAGATACTGTAAAAGTCAATGGTTACAACAGAGGTCACAAACTCAAATTGGCGGGAGGCCATTGTAGTGACTGACAACTCATATGATAAATTAACTGCAATTAATTCATCATAGGACATTATACATGACATTTATATTTCAAGCATTACCAGTCACCAGTGGTAATGCAAATCAGCACATTCAAACGCATCACCTAGGCATGGGATGATAACCGTTTTCAAGGTTTACCACAGTTTGGAAAAGTCAAGGTTTTAAAATCATCAAAATTTTCTGCTATACCATTCCTAAGGTATGTGTAAGATTTTTTTATTTAAGTTTTTAATTTTATTTATTTCAGTATCTCCAGCAGAAAAGATATTCAACAATGCCATTTTAAATGGTTAAAAAAAAATCTGTGTTTTTGAAACAATTGAAGAAAGCAGAAGACATTGACTCATTTGAATTATTTAGCCTGACATGTTTACTGCCCAAAAAAACATTTTAAATGTTTCTCAAAATAAAACATATTGTGTTCAAAGCAGAAAAAAGTTTTTGTTTTTTACACAAACATTTAAAAAGAATATATTTTAAAGCATTTATCACAATACCACATTGCCGCAAAACCGTGATTTTTTTTTTTATCCAAGGTTTTCATACCATCAGAATCTTAGACCGGCCCATGCCTGCACACAACTGCTGAAATATATCTTTGGCTGTTGTGTGCATGGCTGTTGTGTTAGACACAAACTAAGTCATTCTTATATACAGTGTAGATTTTTGTTTCTTATTTTACTATAGTTTAAATTGCTATGAAAATAAAACAAACAATATTTAAAAATATTATAACAGTAATATTAAATATAATAAATGTTATATTATAACATAAAATCAAAAGTTAATAAATAGCGTACTCCAGATAAGAACACCATACAGCAGTCTGGGGAACTTCAGTGACTTTACTGGCAATTTTTCTTCTTAATTTCCTTGTTTTTTTTTGTAAAACTTTGACAAAAAACGAATAAAATATGTATATTTATATTAACATTAACTTTAACAATTCAACAAGCTTGACAATTTTTCTAATGTACATAGTTTTTTATACAAATCTTAATACACATATGAAGAAAATCTATTAAATGAGACAATTTGTATTGAATATTTGCAAAAATATCATTTTCGTCACACCATCAGCATAGTGTAAAAGCCATGAAGAAGTGTTTGTACAGCAAAAGACATGCAGTAGAAAACAAATAATAATTAAACAGCGCTTGAATATTGACAAAAATAGAGCACGTAGGGACATATATTTCCATGTTCATATCAGCCACAGGACAGCGTGCACTAAAAAACTGCATATATAAACTGAACATATAGTACAGTACTTTAAAAGTCCAGTTGGTGATAAGTCAAAACCACAAGTGGCTATACAGCAGGGGTTCCCAAACCTTTCAGTCCAAGACCCCCAAATTAACAATGCCAGTGACTCGCGAGCCCCCATATTCTCTGAGGAGGTTACAGATATATACACCACGCACTCCACGGCACACACATACCAATAGGCCTAAGTCTATTCATCAATTAATTTTGAAGAACGCCATTCGGAAACCATCCATCATGTTTTGGCCTGTATTTGTACACGAGTGCCACAAAGGTGTCAGAAATTTTTACGTGGTGCCATAAAATCAATGTGCTGCATATGACGCTATTGATGTGTCTTATATATAACGTAAAAAAAATAAACTAAAACGCTAATTGCTTTTTATTTGCATGTGGTTTGTTTATTATTAACATGTTAACTATGTTTCTATTAACTACTATTTTGTTTTTCAGTAGGTTATGAATAAAAAATAGTAATATTAATGGTTTAATAAAATGAATTTGATTTTTGGAAATCGTCAATTGACCCACCCCCTCATTGTGCCGCGACCCCCACTTTGACAACCACTGCTATACACAACAGCACAACAATGACAGTCATTCAAAAATATACATTTTGGGAAGCCGAATCATCACGTTATATTTTTTATGTCAGTTGTAAGAGGAGGAGGGGAGGCTGTAACTGGCCCATGGGCCAGCAGTTTGAGACCTCTGGGTTAAATATGATGATGAAAATACTGATGGATTTGTAGTTTTGCTCAAACAAAAATCATTCAAACCAACAATATTCAATTCCTTAAAGTAATCACATACATATTGCTGGACAATCATTTAGTAGATACCATTTACTGAGTAGGAAACAAATAAATTAAAATAAACAACTGAATATATGTCTGATTGATAAAACTAACAACACAATCTAATGAGAGATCTAGCAGCATTTGTCTGCTTTAACCCACAGCACACAAACTATGCTGGATTTATCCAGTAAGTTGTCATTCAAGCAACAAAAAAAGTGCAGCTGATTATTTAAACACAAACTATGGAAAAAGGAGGATTGCTTAAAAGTGCAATACCACAATAACTATTTGTATTTTGTTCAGTGCAAATCCTGTGCTTTTCAAAAAATATATCTGAATGCAAAAAATGTAGTAGAACACAAATATGATAGGCATTTCAGATAAATGTTCAATTTTATTTCATTTTATGTTACAAAAGATGCACCTATAAGAAGACCTCAATCGAAATCTTGACCTTGTCTGACTGCATCTCTTTGTGGATTGGACTTTAGAGACAGTATTGTTAGTGTTTATGGTCAGTGAGTGGGTGAAATCCTCAGCGGGAGATTCAGAGCTCATTGTGTTCACCCTACTGTGTGAGGAAGCAAACTCAAGGTATCCCGCCTGCATTTCTCCATCTTCAGAACCAGCACCCTGACAACCTTTTACATCAAACTAACAGACACTGACAAGGCGTAAAAGACCAAATCTGATTTAAAGAACGCTTACCTGCAGGGCCACGCGTTTGAGTCGCTCATCATCCAGCTCTTTTCGAAGTTCGCCAAGCTCTCTCCTGAAAAGTGCAGAAGGAGGTTACGGAATTACGTGGAGCATTTAAAAAGGTTTCTATCATTTCTATTAGAGCTGCACAATAGGGCTGCACAATATGTTTTTCAGCATCGATATCGCAATCTGCACATTCGTAATAATCACATCACACGTTCTGCAATGTGGAGAATTCAGCCACACAATATTACAATGTTGTAACTTTAAGAAACTGTACTTGTATTTATATATAAATATGATGACTATACTGGGTCATTTTAAATTTGATTATATATTTTGCACTGTATACTGCTAGCCTTCTAGAAATCCATAAAACACTTTATTTAGTTTGTATCTTTGCTGTACTGCATTTATCAATGCTCGTGACTGGTTTAGTATGTTTTATGAAGATGAATTTCCCAACAAAATTAAAGCAGCCTTTGCTCAATACTTTGTTGAAGCACCTTTGGCAGCAGTTGCAGCCTCAAGTCTTTTTGAATATGATGCCACAAGCTTGGCACACCTGTCTTTAGGAATGTTTGCCCATTCCTCTTTGCAGTACCCCTCAAGCTCTATCAGATTAAATGGGAAGCGATGGTGTACAGCCATTTTCAGATCTCTCCAGAGATGTTCAATAGGATTAAGGTTTGGGCTCTGGCTGAGCCACTTAAGAACATTCACAAAGTTGTTGTGAAGCCACTCAATTGAGATTTTGGTGCTGTGCTTTGGCTCATTGTCCTGCTGGGAGATGAACCGTCGTCCCGGTATGAGGTCAAGAGCACTCTAAAGCAGGTTTTCATTTAGGATGTCTCTGTACATTGCTGCATTCATCTTTCCCTCTATCCTGATTAGTCTTCCAGTTCCTGGTGCTGAAAAACATCCTCACTCCATCATGTTTCACTGTAGGGATGGTATTAGCCTGGTGATGAGCGGTGTCTGGTTTTCTCCAAACATAATGCCAGGCATTTACTTTAAAAAGTTACATTTTAGTCTCATCAGACCAGAGAATTTTGTTTCTTATGCTCTGATAGTCCTTCAGATTCCTTTTGGCAAATTCCAGACAGGGAGAGGCTTCCGTCTGGCCCAATGACTGTAAAAAATATGGACGACGCGACAGCCCCTTTTCCCATTGAACGCCTTGAGGGCAAAACGCCTGCTTAACGGGCACAAACTGTCGCAAAAGACTGCTGAAATTGGAGCCTTGACATGCGCAGAAGGACTGTCTGATGGAGCCAGAGGAGGAGCCGCGAAAATGAGCGGAGTCGAGCTTCCAACCAAACGCTTTATGTAAAATCAACCACGCCCCCCGAACTTCTTAGCATGCGTTTGCTGTCATATCAACACAGATGGATGTAATAACGTTAACAAATATGAGGGTTTTTTATATTCAATCGCGCCAGCTCCGGGCCGCAGCGCATAACCTACTTGCGGCTTCACGGGCTGATTCCGGCTCGCATGCGGCAGCGCCGGCTCGCTCTGCCGCCGCATCCTGCTCGATTGACTCGGGTTGGAATCGGGCAGTGAGTCCAGGCATCCGGAGTAGGTCCAGCAGAGGTAGTCAGTCTGAGCTCTGAGGGGTAAGTCTCCGGCAGGCGAGAATCTAGCCGAACTGGTCCGAGTGTATTTTGCCATCTGGGTGGCTAGGCGTGTATCAGCAAACTAATAAAGCCCGAAAAAAGCCCTGACCTTAGCGAATAAACAGTGTTCCACCAGGATCATGTATGTCAGAAACTGTAGTTTACTGCTGAACTCATTTTGTCATGGTAAAATAACACACAAATCGAATAATAACACTTTAGTCTCCGGCCGAAGCTCAGACGCGCTGCTTAGAGAAACTGTCAATTACAGCTGTCAATCACGATGACACGCCCAGCATTAAATTACTGCTAAAAACAAACTGTTTACAAAAATGAAGATCTGCACCTATTTCAGCACAATAATCAGTGCCTTAATCGACCAGAACCATCTTTCGGGACATTTTATTGCAAGTGTAATAATTCTTTTTATTTGGGCTCAAGTCTCCTTCATTAACACGGAGGAGGCGGGCTTTATGACTTGTACTGCAGCCAGCCCCCAGGGGGCGATCTAACGGCCGAGACCTTCACTCAAACGCAGGCTTGCGGCACACTTGGTCTGGCCACACTACCATCCAGGCCTGATTGGCAGATTGCTGCAAAGATGGTTGTCTTTCAGTAAGGTTCTCATCTCTCCACAGAAGAACGCTGGAGCTCAGACAGAATGACCATCGGGTTATTGATCACCTTCCTAACTAAGGCCCTTCTCCACCAATCACTTAGCTTAGATGGCCGCCCAGCTTAAGGAAGAGTGGTTCCAAACATCTTCCCCTTACGGATGATGGAGGCCACTGTGCTCATTGGAACTTTCAGAGCAGCAGTAACCTTCCCCAGCCTTGAGCCTTGAGACAATCCTGTCTCAGAGGTCTATAGACCAATTCATGCTTGGTTTGTGCTTTGACTTGCACTCTCAACCCTGTGACCTTATATAGACGGGTATATGTCTTTACAAATCGTGTCCAATCAACTGAATTTACCACCGGTGAACTGCAGTTAAGCTGCTGAAACATCTCAAGAATGATCAGTGGAAACAGAATGTACCTTAGCTCAATTTAGAGCTTCAATGCAAAGGCTGTGAATACTCATGTACATTTGATTTTTCAGTCTTTTTAAATTTTTGTCTTTAATAAATTTGTAACAATTAAAAAAAAATTTCCCGTTGACATTCGGGGGTATTGTGTGTAGAATTTTGAGGAAACAAATTAATTTATTCCACTTTGGAATAAGGCTGTTACATAAAAAATGTGGAAAAAGTGAAGCGCTATGAATACTTTCTGGATGTACTGTATGTATCGAGATAGGCACATTTGCAAATTGTCAATAATATCAGTGAACTGCACAATGACATGCCATGAGGAGAACTGCTTTATGAGATGAACTGCTTTACTAATACAAAATATCAGGAAAAACAAACTCATGGAAAAAGCTGCCACTTACGACTGCTGTGTCTTCAGTAATTCTACAGAGAGCACCAGGTCCTTTATCTGATCCTTTAACTCCTCCAGTTCAGATGTCTTCTCCTGTTCCTTGTCAGGTTTTGGTTTGGGTTCAGGGGTGATAAGGGTGGCTGAAATTGTTTTAGGTGTTGTAGATGGTAACGGGGATGAAATGGGCATCTGCAAGAAAAACAAAACACTGATCAGTGGAGATCAAAATTAGAGAACAAACTATAATATACCTGTTTCCATCCACCAATTTCTTTATATGCATTTTGGAAAATTGCATAAAAAATGCTTCATAGAAATGCCAAATAAAATATTTCATGTTCATCTTCCAAGGTGCAAGTTATTTTTTATGTAAGAAAAAAAAGCAACTTCCAATTTTCTTTTTTCTACTTGGCATCAATTTATCAAGATCGAAGAGATTGTTCTCTTCGACTCATTAAATGGAAACGGTGCTTTATTGTCAAACATTTTATGAGATATTCCAGTTTCACACATAAGCCTCCATTTAAAGTCACATCATTAAATGGAAACATAGCTAGTTTCCTAAATTTCCATGTCACAGCTTAATCCAGGGTTCCTACAAAATTTCAAAATTCCACACTTCACTAGATGTCCATTGTATTTCTAGATTTCTCTACAGATTTTACTTTTGATAACTTCAATTTGTGAATGCGCCCCTGACGATCACTTGATAAAGATCATCTGCTTTATTGACTTTCAGGTAAACGTTACATTCATTAAAACACCATGAAAAATTCTACTGTATGATAATTTTTTTTTTAGAATATGAAAAGTAAATATTTTCCATACTTTGATTTACAATTTCCATACCTTCCCAGAAAGAAATTAATCAAATCAAATTTTATACTACTCCAAACTCCTTAAGAATCTATTTGAACAGAAGTAAGAGACATTTTTCAAGTAGTTTCTGTTAGTTATATATATTTTAAGTCACAGTATAACAAATTAAATGAGAACCTTATTCTGATTGTGGTTTTAATCCAGGCTTTTGGATTATTTTGCAAAACGCTGTTGTACTAGCATGGTATTGTCAACTTAACATCCATCAAATTCAGATGAATTAGTTTCATGTTTAGCACAACAATAAGATCTGTATAGGCACAAAAACACCTGCAGTACAATTCTGATCGAGTTCCCTGATAGATTAAACAGCAAGGGTGATTACACTTAATGAATGTTTAATACAACTCCAGGTGACCTTGAATCAAAAGTCCAAGGCGTTTTATAGACTGATGTCATGTTTTATATCTGCCGGAAAAACCCTTGCTTGGGAGGAACATTAATCTCCCCACTTTAATGAAATTTTTATGCAAAAAATAATTAGTATTAATAAGCAACTACAAAAAGGTCTCTTTAACTCAGGTGGTGGTCTTAAGTCATTTGTTTAAAGTGTGATTTTCTCATAATATTCAATCTGAATACAAATTATTTACATGACCATTTTTTCATTTATAAAGAAATGCTAAAAATATTAAGAAATTAATTAATCAATTAATGAAAATGTGTGCGGGTGTGTCACATTTAAAGTGAACAAATTAATTCAAAAAAATATATTATATTGCAGCATTTCTTTTCATTGAATTCTCCAAATAAAGTAATTTACTCAATTTACATCTAAAGATTAAAGGTTTATATATAGGGAGTGGAACATGATTTATTATAACAGCATTGTTATTTTCTTCTACTAATCAACTGATGTTTAATTTAATGAGTTATTGTTTTTTTTTTTATAAAAACTAGTGCAAAATGATTGAACTCCAAGTGATAGAAAGTCATTTAAGGGGTGTGATAAATAAGTAGTTTTGATAAATTAGAAATGAAATGCCTTTTGTGTTATTTACTGTGATAGATGTATTTTAGTATTTTAGCAAAAAATATGCGGTATTTATAATGGTATTTTTAATTGTCTAAATATACAAGTGAATTATTTTATGCTACTATAAAAAAGTTATTGAAATGTTGAATACTAATACTAAATAATAATTCTAAAAGTGGATTAAAAAAAAGATCTTGTCACAAACCTACTTTATTTTAAGAAATAACATAAAAATAACTAGATTGGCTGCATTCTTGTTTTCTCTCTGTGCTCTAGTGAATTTATTTGTCTATTTGGCTCATTGTGTTTAAAATAGATGCATTGCTCTAGAAGCACTTGAAATCTTTATCACAGAGTCAAAAGGCTTGAATTATTGAATGAAGTAGACGGGAATCAAAATTAGCACACCAAAAAGAGGTCTGGATAGAATATACGCCTTACAGTGTACTTGATTGCCTATACTGTTGTACAATGTAAACTATATTATTGCTCAGCTAATCGGCAAAACAAAAAAGATAAGACATTTTTCTTTTACTTAGCTTGTTGTCCTCATTATGTGTTGAATGTTTGAATACAATTTTCAATCAAATATACTGCAAATGACTGCGCTCTTCCAGATAAGTTTGGAGCTGTGGACAAATTTCTTTAAATAACAAATGACCAAGAAGGTCCGCACTTAATAATTTATTAGACATACAGCGGAAGACGAGAAAACGGATGCTTTGGCTTTAAGCCTTCATCAGTGATAATTTCATTTAGTCCCATTAGGTTCAAATTTTAGCAGTTAAAAATAAAGGTGTATACATGAGGAAGAAACTAAAAGAAAGAAAAAAAGTCTTGAATGAGTCTTGATGAGAATAACCAAAGTTTTACTCGATTATGAACTCCTGAAATTAGTATATAAGCACCAAGAGACAGTGGCTACGGCTACTTCTCAATAAGAGTTCTTAAGTGATCTTGCGTCCTTGTGTAACATCATGATAGATAGACAGATAGATAGATAGATAGATAGATAGATAGATAGATAGATAGATAGATAGATAGATAGATAGATAGATAGATAGATAGATAGATAGATAGCAGACAGACTTTATTCAAGTGAAAATGAAATATTAGTCCATTATCACTAGTCAAAACTCACTGAACAGACAAATTAATAATAGTAATAAAAGTAATTTTGGAATTTTACACAACTTGCTAATAAATTGCTTTCATAATAGGATTGTTGACCCAAAATTGAAAAGTCTGTTATAATTTTACTTGCCTTTTACTTGTTCCAAACCCGTTTGAGTTTCTTTCTTCTGTTGAACACAAAAGAAAATATTTTGAAGAAAGCCGAAAACCTGTAGCCATTGACTTCCATAGTATTTGTATTTCCCACTATGCATGTCAATGGTTGCAGGTTTTCAGCAACTTCAAAATATCTTCTTTGGTGTTGACCTGAAGAAAGAAACTCAAAGATGTATAACTTGAGAGTAAATACATTTTCACTTTTGGGTGAACAAACCCTTTAATCAGATTTCTTTAGCTTTACAATCTAAGCATTTACATCTAAAAACAGCTATAACAACAAAACGGACCAATCGGTAGAAGTAAAATTGTAATACTATTTCAGTCCAATTCATCCTCACTTTATTAAAAAGAAAAGAGAAAAACAAACAACTACCAGACACCCAAACATATTCTGTACAATTAACCAAATATGGGAAGCATCAATGTGAAACCAGACACATGAGCTTAATGCACAGATCTCTACATACTAAAACAAGTCCTTAGGGCTGGAAAAGAAGAGCCAGACATTTAGTCGAGATCATATCAGAGCTGCTGCTTGCTAACAAACCTTTGAAAACATCATTTCATGCGATGTGTTCTCAAGAAGTCACAGTTAATCACACAGTTATGTGAGGGAATCTTTTATTCAGCTATTCAATTATTCATTTCTCATATCCTTCTGAGACTCAAAGAAAAAAAATCTTTTTTTAAATTATTTTTTTTGTTTTCCTACAACCTTTGGGTTAAAAAAAATCTACAATTTAGAGTTTTTACATTTTGTTTTCATTTTTATTTTACAGCATGTCCACTGTAGTGGACCACAGGACCACTTTAGTTTGAAACAACCGCCTCTCAGACAACAAAACTGTACACGATACGGCTATAAAGGGTTATTAATCCAACATTAATGTAACAAAAAGAAAAAAAAGCCATTTTTGTCTTTTGTATTAAAATTCCTGAAACTGTTTAATCTAAAAGAGAGCCGAACTCAAAAAAAAAAGAAAGAAAAAAAGAAAAAAAAGTGATGTTAATCCAAAACAAAAATAAAAGCAATTTAAAACTGATTGTCATTCTCTTATTGTCTCTAATTCTGTAATTGTTTGATTGTCAGGGCCTATTCACACTATGCTATCCGAACCATGCCCAGGCCCGTTTCCTAGATGGTTTGAGAAGTGTGAGTGTTCTGAATGGGGTTCACTTGGCCGGCCCTGGCCCGGTTGGAAGAGGTGTGCTGAGGGTGGTTGTGTGAGTGCAAAATGCGCCTAAGCTGAAAAGTGAGACGTGACTTTTAAAGGACCATTTGATTTGGATTTATTAATAATTCTTACTGTTCAGTGAATGCAAACCGTCATAGTTTATTAAAGACACAAACCCCTCACTGCATGGCAGCTGCACCTTCAGCAAACCTCCTAATTCCTGCAGCACAAGGACTTTATGGTTGTTTATGAGCATCAAAAGTGGCTGATCTGTTCAGCGAAATATTTGACTGCGTGTCACAACTTAAACGATATAACTAGAGAAATCTCCACTGTGCTGAGTGAGAGTGCTTCCTGAACAGCACAGCATCAATGATGTAAGCGTGCCGAGGCCCGAATGTAATGTGAGTGCGGGCCATCGAGGGAGACAGGAGGGGCGACAAGCGTGCTTTAGCCCGGTTCAAGGCAAATGTACACAGTTTGCCCTCAGACTCTAAGTTAGAGTCTCCCTCAACTATATTATAAAGAATCCTCTCTGCTTCAGTTCTGCCTCCTACAACATGCGGTCATTAATTACATTAAGAAGGTCCTGGTGTCCACTATCATGGACATTTAAAAAAGCATGATATTTTGAAACACAAAGAAGTTAACAGCTTTGACAGCTAAATTTATCGTTCCTGAGACTTTAAAAAAAAAACAAATATATATGTAATATTAATAGTAAAAAACATTTAAAAAGCTAAATTTTACATACCTCTCTCATTCCCATAAAATGTGTTAATTTGTATGCAAGCTCTTTTGGACACAGTGTAAGAAGTGGTTCCTAGCATACCAGCCAATCAAATGACATATCACGAGAAAGCTCAGGATGTCCTCTGAATAGTACAACAGGACTTCTCATAGAAGCTTAAAAAAAATTCATTAAAACACAATGTCCACTACAGAGAACACAAGTCAATGGGTGGGGTCTCAGATACAAGATTCAACCAAAACATGATTATGATGAGGATTATTATTTGTTCTTATGCATTTCTAATCCTCTTCTACATAATTTGCACCAAATTATTTTTTTTAAATCTTAAATTAAGAAACATTTGAAAAAAAAAAAAAATTAAGATATATTTGATATGGAGAAAAACATCTTTTTTCTTAGACACACTATGCATAAATTCAATACAAATGGGTCTAGTCATGTATAAGTAACTATGGAGTGTTTTGCATTGAGTATGTTTCTTGTTTCTCCATGCACAATATATGAGGTATCCTGCTGTACCATATAAAGCCCCCTTTTCATCTTATTTATCAGTTGTTTGCATTTTTTGTCATTTATCTGAATGGCTGCTATTAGCTAAGCTATCTGTAAATTATATTATGTATAAATGGGCATCATAGTAAATCGTGTTTGCTGCTCAAGAAGGGAAATACAATTGTTTACAATAGAATCCTAATTCTTCTTTTTTGTCATGTAGCTGAAATTCTGCTGAGGATTTCCAGCAGCAGCAAATTCCCTAAAAAACATTTTCTGCCAGTGAGTGAAGAGCAAAACAACAACTCTTGTTGCAAATGCACTGGACTTATTTCACACAATGTACTACTTATGTTCAAATTAATCATTCATGCTGTATGTTTCTGCTTATTATTTTACAATTAAAAAATTAGTGAAACCTTTAGTACGTGTGAGCATCATCAGACTTCTTCTCCATATACAAGGAGAGGGAGAAAACCCAAGACATTGTCTCAGAAAAATAATTCCAGAAATTTCATTTTGCATACTATTGGTATCAAATTCAAAACATATACTCAGGAGATGTAGGCTTTTGACCTATTACTTTTTTGTGTTGCTCCAGAACAAATTTCACATATTTGTTTATGAAATAATAAAATGTTTAGTGCAGTGATTTTTTTTTTTACATTACTTAAGCAGCTATAACTTTTTTCATTTTGAGCATTATAAACTCTAGATGATGGATAACAAAGCCCAGAGTGTCTTCTTTCCAAAGATACATTAACTTTGAATGTAGACTTAATCATTCAGCAACTGTAAATGTTTCGACTTGGGAAGATTTTTGAGAAAGTGCCTCTGACGGTGAAGGGGAATCGAGACGGACATCGACATAGCAACGGAAAACTTTTTACAGTAATCTCATATTGCATGCTATCTTCATCAAATGTAAAATATGTACTCATGAAATGCTTGGCTTTCTAGACATTTTTTTCTAGGATATTACATTAATGTTTTCCTGTGTTTTTACATGGAAAACTAAAATTAAACAATATATGTTTATTGTTCATATAAAATATTGTTTAACAATAAAGGGTTATGTCTTATTGTCAGCATGTTTAATGTCCTTGATAATGTGAATATAACAGAAGGGCAACGCTTATTTTGAATCAAGTTTATTTCATTTTTGATGTTTAGAGAAGTTTTATGGTTTAAAAACAAACTTTGTTTTAGGTTTAAAATGTCAAAATTAAAGATTGTTAAAGTCAAAATGTGTATTTTTGTACTTTTCAAGTATACATCTATACATATATAATACCCTGATTTACAGTTTTATACAGTTCTAATAAACAAAACAAATAAAATGTATCTATTTGTTGATTAATCAGATTAATTAAATAACTGCCCAACTAATCGATTATTGAAATAATCATTAGTTGCAGGCCCAAACAAGACAAAAACTTATTTTTGCAGTGTGTGAAGGATGTATGTGATGTAAAACTTCATTTACCTTAATTGAATTCTGCGTGGAAGGAGCAGGGGCAGGAGCAGGCGCAGGAGAAGGAGCGGTTTCAACTTCATCTATTTTCTCTGTTTTCTCAGCTTTCTCTCCAACATCCTTGCTTGGCTGTAAGGAATCATGGGAGGATGTTAGAAAAACATGGCAAGAAGAAAGTGCAAATAGTGCTATACTTAACACATGTCCCATTCAGGCTTTCACCACTGAAGCATTTTTCAATCAAAACTAGAGCACTGCATGATCCCTCCATTTTGCCACGCTTTACATCAAAAGAAAGGTGTTTTCTTTAGAGGTAAGATCTAAAAATATCTGCTTATGTTAGTATAATAAGATTTAACAGAGAATGGTTTTCTTAGCCGGCCTATCAGCTGTTTTAAGCAGTGTGTGGAACTTTCTGTAAACTCTGAATAAACCAACACAATCAACAAAGAAATGTAAACTCTATTTATATCTAAAGATTATACAATATGTTATGCAAGTTGTCTGCTTGATAGGGAACGGTACATGCCTTTTAATTAATATAACAACATTTTAATTAAATATGATGTGCTCATGTTTTTCTTCTACAAAACAAATAGGATTTAATTTAAATGAATGATTTCAAGTTAATGAAAACCTGTGCAATATGTTTATCTCCAGGTGATAGGAAAGCACTTAATGAGTGGGCTAAATTAAATGTACTTTTAATTAATTGTATACAGTGCTCAGCATATATGAGTATACCCCTTACAAATCTATCTTTTAAATGAATATTTTTATAAGATGCTATACTATATTTGTGCATTGGGGGTGTGACGAGATCTCGGGATACGACTAAATTGTGACAAGATTTCTCGTCAAGGGGAAAAGTTGTTATGATAGAGCGTGAAGGTGAATTTAGCACTGAAGACTGAAGGCAGGATTGGATTTGGACTGCACATTAAGTGCTTTGCCCACACCCGAGTAGTGTCTGTCTGCGGACTGAAAAATGGGCGTAACATGAAGTGGGTTGCATTTTGCAGTGTTTGCATTCCCTTTACAGCATAGAATTCATTAAAATAGAAGTTAATTCAAATTCATTACAAGTTGAATTTGAAAAGAACCTAAATAGTTTAGCATTTTGTAATTTTTTTTTTCAGTTGAATAAAAGACTACTTTCCATTAATATATTTTATCATTAAGGATTCCAAAAAATAGTATAAAAATAGTCTCGTCTGGTTCTCATGAAACCAATCTCGTGTCTGGTCTTGTAGAGTAAGCATCTCGTCACACACTTATAGCATATTTAATAGATTAGTCAGTACCAAGCCAAACCTGGAGCTAATCTAACAAAATAACTTACGATAACGGTCCAAAAATACGTACAACCAAACTTATTTGTTAGAAAAAATATGAAATAAAAATGTTTAAAAGAGGAATAATCAAGAGAAGCAAAAAAGTATATCAAATTTAGTTCTTTATAGATTCTTTTTTTTTTGCAATAGTTCACTTGAATTTAAATACATTATCTTTCTATTTCTGAATATGTTCAGTTACTAAAGTATTATTTTAATAAATAGTCATATTAAAATGGAGTGTACTCATTTATTCTGAGCACTGTACATAAAAAATTCATTTTTATTTTAATATTTTAGCATTAAAGGCACAATTTACCTGAAAACTAAAATCCTCTCATCATTTACTCAGACTTGTTACAAACCCATTAGAGTTTCCTTATTTTGTCGAAAACAAAGAAATTTTGAAGAATGTTGGAAACCAACCATTGACTAACATGGTGTCATTTTCCTCTACTATGGATGTCAAAAGTTTTCAACATTCTTCAAAAAATAAAATAAAATAATAATAATAAAAAAATAATATATGTATATATATATATATATATATATATATATATATATATATATATATATATATAATGTTTTTTCTGCATGACTGTACAACATATCGTTTCAGCATTGAAATCACAATGTGATAATTCACAATAGTCACATAGCAGCAGATATAAGCAATGTTAAGTGTGTATTATAATTTATCATTTTAGTTTAGAGTTTTTGAGGCATGGGACTGTATAATGATTTTAAAAGCATTCAGGCATAAAAAATGTACTATTTGTAACTTTAATGATGATTAATCTCATTAAATTATTATTATGCAATTACTGTACCCGAATAACATTTATGACTTGGAAAACAATAAAACAGTTTATTTTAATTATTATTATGTTCTAAATTGCATCTATGCTTGTAATCGTTATGCTTTCAACAGAATCCTCTCAATTAGTCTTAAATTATTTATTCTTTCCAAATAGAGGTATTTAGGTCATCTGGTGAAGTTGTATTCATATCACATAAGAACCAAATATCGCAATGTTAGATTTTTTCAATATTATGCAACCCAACACTTGAGCTTGAGTAAATGTTTATTTTTTTGGCAAACAGTTATGGTAAACAGAGATCACAGCTCAAGCAGAAGAAAAGTATACTCACGGAGTGGCCTCTATGAGCAGGTGGTCTTTTCCCAGGCATCTTTGGTCGCTGTGCAGTAGGGTGGCTTAATTTCTCAGAGGAAGAGGAAACATCATCAAAACTCATGAGATTAACTAAAGTGGAAATAAAAAAACACAAAAAAGTGTCAAACATGGTTCATCTTAGTTCTTAGTTGTTATATACAGTATATCAGAAAAAAAGTTTGATGTTATACATGCTGATTTAAAAGTCATATGAGGTAAGTTTCCATCATGTCCAAATCAAAACCCAACAGAGCAGGAAATTACAATTCACGACTGAATGATGTGTATAAAGATAGTGTCAATGTCTGAAAAATGTCCAATCACTCATCAGGGAATGGCTGTCAGTTTGATATTATAAATTCTGGCACCTAAAATTTGACGAATTTATTTTAATATGCCTATAATTAGCTACCAAAAGATTATTTTATCCCATTGGCCACTCTCTTTCTCAGATATACGAGACCGACAACACAATAAACCACCAAAAAGTAAAAAAGTGACCACACAACAAAGTGAGAAGTGGTCTCATATGTCCAGAAATAGCATAACCTGACATAATTGCCTCTTTCTGAAGTTGGCAGAAAAGAAGAGAATAGAAAAACCAGATCACTAATGCAAAAATATGCCCATGACCTTTCAGAACAATGCGATTACAACAGCTTTAACGCTATACTTCACAGTCAACATCAGTTTAAAGCAGTATCCTGAAACAGCCTCTTGACAAAAAAAATCCTGAGAATCTGCTGTCTAAAATATAAAGCAGTTCAGACACTTTTTTTTCCTCTATCAAAACCTTTTTGCCTTCAAGCTAACATTCAAGGTTTTAACATTTAATCAGTAGGAACTCATTTAAAACATATGTCTATGCCTTAATTGAAAATTCTTATCAGAATACGCTTAAACTCATAGATTAGTTGTGCCAGTTAAACAGTTATCAGTCAGTTAAATGGATTTCAATTACTTTGCAAAGATTACAATAGCTTATCCAATGGCTAAAACAGCTACCTGAAACTAAAAATCCAAATTGGCCTTGTTTCCAGATGGCGTTAATACGTTTCAATCACCAGTGGTCAACTGAGATGTTATTGTTTTCAAATGGCAATAGAATGCATCTCTTGTGAACACTTGCAATTTCATTTCAAGCCCCTTCACTCTAGGGGAACACAAAGAGGGGCTCACAACAACCTGCCCCCCCTACTTAACATTCTTTTTGATTTGAAATAAAAAAAAAATGAAACAACATCAATATACTGAAAAAAAAAAAACAGTTCAAGCAGACTTAAGATGTGATGCAACAGTCTCGCATGTCCATCAAGTGAACATTTACTCAAGAAAAGTAGAAAAGTATGGAATGGAAAAACGTGTTCTGTATGTGAACAGCCTCTTAGCTTCATCTTTTATCATTACACATATAGCAGACATAATAGAGAATAGTTAAGAGTGTGTAATTAATTAAAGCAAGGTGTTTGTTCTTTAATAATAATAATAATAATAATAATAATAATAATGATGATAAAAATATTGATAAAAGTAAAAACCAAAACAGAAAGTATTAGAAGGTCTGCACAGATATTATTAAATAGTTGACAGGTTCTGGTGTGGTATTAATCACAAGACGGGAGGCAAATAGACTGAAGTGTGCAAGAAATCCTGGAGATGACTGAGGCTTTAGCACAGGACAAAAGAGCTCTTTCCCATTCTCCTCTGGGGCTGAGCCACCTGCTCTAGAGATCTGAACCATCATCCTCAGTGCAGGATGAGTAATCCTGCTTTGGGCAAGAGATTCATGGCTTTAATCCACAAACAGAGCCACACTTTGACCAGAAGTTAAGCCATTTCGAACACTAGCGTTATGGCCTCTATGATAGTAACATGTTTATAAATACAACAGCAAAACTAAACTAAATGACTACCTTTGTTGTTTTTTACCTGTTATTGCGTGTATGAAGTGTGGTTTGAGGTTATTGTAGCTGCTAAACAGCTCTGTGTAATAATAATATTAATAATAATAATATTAATAATAATAATAAACAGCAAAGAATGACTTACCAGTTTCTGTACTCTTTTCACCAATATCCACAACAGTTTTTGGCTTGATGGGAACAGGTTCACACTCAGATTTTCTTCGTGAGAGAGGAACGTCTCCATTTTGCCTGTGGAGTTCATGAGGAAACATTGAAATGACATTCTGCACCATTTGCAGGCATGGTCTTATGTGCTTTTCCAGTGTATATCAGATAGATATAAAATTAAGAGATCACTTAGTAGTCTCTTGATTTACTGGATTTATTTGGTACGGGTTTAAATAAAATGTTGAAATGTATATTTTCTCTAAGGTTCAAGTAAGATTTCCTCCAAATGTCAAATAAAAAGATTGTAATTTAGAGCTTTTGTGTGTAATTTGCAGAATGAAATAAAATGATTAAAAAAAAATTTAACTTAAATTTAGAACTTTAAATCGTCTCTTAATGCACGCATGTATGTACATACAGTTAAAGTCAGAATTATTTTTCTGAGCAAGGAAATTTTCACAGTATGTCTGATAATATTTTTTCCTCTGGCGAAAATTTTATTTGTTTTATTTTATTTAGAATAAAAACAGTTTTAATAATAAAAAAAAAACATTTTAAGGTCAAAATTAGTATGTACAGTTGAAGTAAAAATGACTATTTACTTTTAATTATTTCTGTAATTATTTTAATTAGAATTTCTTTTATAAATCACCAAATTTTTATTTAACAAAGAGAAGTTTTTTTGAACATATTATTAAGCATAATAGTTTTAATAACTAATTTCTAATAACTAATCTACTTAACTAGGTTATTATCTTAACTTGGCATGTTAGAATAATTAGGAAAGTTTTTGGGTAATAGTAGAGAAAAAAAATCATATAATATAATATAGGCATATAATACTAACCTTAAACTTGGTAAAAAAAAATAAATAAATAAAAGCTGTTTGTATTTCAGCCATCCCAAAAAAGCCTTTCCCCAGAAGTAAAAAACAATATATAGTAGGAATTACTCTAAAAATGTTGCTCTTGCTCTGTTAAACACCACTTGGGAAATATTATAATATCACCAAAGGGCTAATCATTTTGACTTCAACTGTATATGTTCTCTCCGGGTTTTTAAAAATGTATATTTGATACGAAATATATTGACTCTGAATATACTGAATCTTATATTAAGTGTGCTACTACAACCTAAACATAAATGAAGATAAAGCGTAAGACACCAACACTTGCTTGGCGGCTGGTGATGGAGTAAGAGGCAAGTCAGGCCGTTTGGTGTGGTATGAAGGACGCAGGAGGCTCTTGCTTGGAGGCACAGGTTTCTTCGGGGGCACGATGGGGCCTGCAGGTTTGGCGGGTTTCTCTGGCAAGGGCTTGACAACTTCAGGAAGTTAAAAAGACACAAAAACACATGTTTGAGACTAATAAATTATTTTACTTAACACACAAAAGTGACTCATAAATAACACTCTTCTAATTTGCAGTATTAATCAACAGATAATTATCTAGATGTTGGATATTTACAGAGCAATGGAAGGGACAGCATGTATTTACGCCTTGTGATGCATCAAAAGTACTGAACTTTCACCAGCATCCTTTATGTCACACAAGTAGGTCAGGTGAAATTTTGGCAGGATGTTTGCTCCACATAGATCTGCTTAATTATTCACTTTTTTATGCATTTTAATCAATAACATTCACTTATCAACTCATGTGTTCTGACAATTCTATGTTCAAACACTTGCTTTAAAAAAGCAAGACTTTATTTGAAGAACATGAAGGCCTACTTTTTATACACAATAGAGTTGATCTGATATATGTTGCAGTGAGAGACAATAAAATAATAAGCAGGAAGTCTTTGATGCAAACGCAATAGCTGATACTGTTGAGAGAGGCTGTTAGTCACAGTGCGAAACACTTTTTCTGATAATACAAACTTATACAAAGTACTTCAGAAATGATATTGAATGTAAATAAATACTCCCAAAGGGATAGATAGTCTTCATCTTGTTCCCCATTTAATTTTAGCTGTGTGAATAGAGAAGCAAATAATGCTGCTTCAATTTCATTTCAGGTCTCAGTTTATTTTCTTACATAATTCAAGTTTTGAGTTTTTATATTTCAGTTATAATGTCTATTAATGCATTGCATTACTAAAATACTAACATTGGAAATGCTGGACCCAGACTATGGTCTATAATAAACATTAATAATCAATAATAGACCCCAAAACTTCCTCTGTTGATAATCAGCTGTATTCAATTTTAGATTGTTACAATTGATAACATTATTAAAATGTTCCACATTTTCGGATGGGCAAGATTTTTTCTTTTTAGAGGAAGTCTCTTGTACGAATGGAATTGATAAAACCTAAATATTGTGAAATAATGTAACTTAAAATCTTTTAAAGTTTTAAATATATTTTATTCCTGCAAAATACAATTTTCATTACTTATGCTTTAGAAATCATTCTAGCATTTACATCACACTTTTTTCAGCAATGTTAAAAACAGTAATACTGCTTAATATTAATGCAAAAACCAATACATTTTATGACTCTGATAATAATAATAATAGCCTTGTGAAGGTGGCAGTCATGATCTTCGTTTTAAACCAAACTAGTCTAATGATAATTTACTCTAATTATGTTTTAAAGAGAGTACAATGGGTGATCCGGGGTGCATAAGATACCCTGAACTCTGTGTTTCAGCTGCTGCCATCAGGGCGTCATTTTAGAGTTCCTATTTGCAGGACAAATAGATTTTTTTTTAACAATGGTGGCCATTAGGTCATTAAATAAGTGCAGCGGGGAGGGAGATGCAACTAAAAAATGATGTATTGTATGTTTTGTAGTAATATTTTGTTATTGTGTATATGGAACTTCGCCTGTGTTATGGCACCTTGCTACAATTTTAGTTTTCCTAAACGCTATAATAAAGTTGAGTCTAAGTCTGATAAGGAAAAACAAAACAAAACCAAACAGTATTTCTTTCAAAAACTATTACCTTCTGTGACATTCAGTCACTTTTTTCCCATCAATACAGTATATTTCTTCCTTGCTGACACTAATAATATCACATTAAATAAATAATATTTTTTTTAAATAAATTGTGCTGACCTCATGACCTTTGTACAGAAGTGTTCAAATTAAAAGTAACAACAAAAAGGCCCTTTAATTTTTGAAATGTAAAACATCTAATTAAACTAATAAATGAATCATTCAAATGATGATCATGTGTCTTTCATGTATTGCACATACACAGCTTTTGTATTGCTCATATTTTTACAATCTAATGCATTTATTTTTAAAAAACAAAATGCTTTTGAAATTCTTGATTGAATGCATGTAAAAAAGCATGAAACATTTTCTGAAGTAGTTACATGATCTCTTAAAATCTGTTATGGGGATGAATTAATAAATATATTAATTAACAAATGGTATTTTGGGGGTACATAAAAACTAGACATTCATACTAAGGACTACGCTTTTACACAGTCATTTTTTTAAACTTAAAGCATTGTGTGAAACCACAGTCTGTATGTAAAATGTGTGGCATGCAACTGGACAGCGAACCCTTACCTTTATCTTCCGGCCGTGGCTGCGGTTGCTTCTTGTCCACACTTGGAGTCTCTGGTTTCAGGACTGAAAAACGAAGCATATTGTCTGACTTAACGATCAGTTTTTAAGCTACTAACTTGCAGATTGAGTCTCTAGAAACTATATAAAAAAAGAACAGCTTCTGAAACAGACGTTTGAAGACAATAGGAAGCATACGGTCTATGACTTGCATTTCCTGTGTGGGCTAGAGACACAGACCAAATCTTTGCAGCCTTCTGCAAGCTTTCTAAAAAGCAATTGGGATGATGCGGTCTACATTGATGCATAACAACATCCGCTTTTTTTTTGTTAGATTGTTTTGCAGACAAAAGCTGTGAGGACTGGCTGGCTGCTAAAGCTGTATTATCAGACTTTATATCTGAACAGACAGATCAGATTATTTTTATCTTTGCACTCTAAAAGCACGTCAAGTGCAAGATGCTGCACTTTTCCTACACGCCGTTTATGCAAATGATTGGTCTTGATAGACTAGATTTCTATTTAATTTACTAATCACAACACACTTATACTCATTTTAATTGTTTTATTATGCATGCGTGTTAAGTCTATTCATGTTTTAATGTATAATAATAATATATCAAATAAAAATAAAAACATGTTTCACATCAATTTACATATCAATGCGTTTAATCAGTTATCAGTTAACATATCAATGTGAATACAATCCAGACAAAGTGTTTAATTTCCAGTCAATCTTAACAGACTGGGATTTCCAAACAAAGCAGAATATCCTTAAGGAAAGGAAGAGCTAAGGGAGACCGAACCCCGGTATAAGCTTTTACTGATAAATATAACAAATCCATTACTGCATTTAACAGCTGTCTTTTTGCAATTATCAATTACAGTGTAATTAGACGAAAAACAAAAAGCAAGCATTAAATGCACACAAATTTGAATTGGTGCAGCTGAATGAGAGTCAATGATGCTTATTCTTTTTTTGTTGTTGCTCTGAAAAATAAAATGTAATATAATGTAATTTACAATGTAAAATGTAATGTAATGTAGAAATGAAAATAATAAATTTCTTTAAGACAAATAGGACAAATAGAGGTAATCACAGCAGTGTCGAAATACAGCTATAAGTGAGAGAGCAAGTTTGTTATCATTCTAGCTTCTTTCTGGTAAAAATCAGATACAACATTTACTAAATAACACTTTACTGTAATAAGTTAATCAAGTTAAATTTATGCCAATAAAAAATACACCAACAAATCTAAAACTGTTTAAGATTTACTTTTGATAAATATTCGACCAGCTTTAAAAGATTCATTTCTACAAATTATTTCTTTAAATGTGCAGTTAGTAAGTTTTACACTCAGAGGTTGAACTATAGGTGTTACGCCTGGTTCAAAACACATGCAAGCACAGGTTGCCAGATTGTGCCTAAAGGCTGATTTAGGTTATGTTCAAAATCAACAGCACACAATAGAAGGAATATTTTCCAAACTAAAAGGAGTTTTTTGTCCTAACCAATACCTGAAATATATATTTTTGAAACAGCTTCCATTTCTTCCAGCTGATCAACAGGATAAACTGGCAATGGTCACCTTAGGTACACCTCATGTGCCTTACTTAGTGTTAATTGCTAATAAATGTGAGTTTGAGTTCCATTTTACATAACATTTATTGACATAATACTGAAAGCAGCAGCAGATAGCTCCGATCTTACCTCAGATCTTGAAAATAAAATTAACCATTTGAAATCTTTAGAACTGTGTCTCAGTGCAAGCCAACACATATCAACACATATGCCTGAATTAGATTATAAACTTTACCATTTCGTTGAAATGCAGTAAGTGCATATTTTGTGCTTCTGAATGGCTCTATTTAAATTTCTGTTACGTTTTGTCTGGTGCAAACAGTCAAATTGCTTATCATTGCAAATTTTGTCACGTATCGTGTTGTTAGGACTCTGGGTTACAATGTAACCTGCACAACCAAAGTTTATATCCGTAATATTTATATTATTTGCTAATTAATAACCACCTCATGTGGAACTCTAAATGTGCATCTCATTTATGAGTCTGCTACTGTCCACCGGAGGTCGCATTTCAGTCGAAGACACATGCTTTCAGAGCCTTCTTGACTGAATGAAATACGCTTTTTTTTATTAGGGCAACCTGTGGTGCTGAAATATATCTGGCTAAACTGATAGTGGCCAGGTTAAAAGAACCAAAACTAAGACCGCGTTCTGGCACGTAACTCGCATTTTCAAAGCAGAATATCTGACTTTAGCATTGTTTTTCAGGTAAAGAAGAATGTTAGCATGAAATATTTAGCCCGTTTCTTAAATACATAAAAACATATTATGGTTTTTTTATGCTTTAGAAGAGTTAGAAACGTACATACGGCACCTTTAAATACTCACTGCTAGAAGATATTGTTGTTATACAACAATTTGAATACATAAGTGTGTAAAAAAAAATAAAAAACTACCACAGAGTCTAAAAAACACTTCCTTCCAATATGATTTCCTTAGCAACTAACTAAAATAAAACACGTTAAATGTGTTTTAATACATTTCATATTCGCAGTTAATAAGCTTTAAGGTTTGAAATAAATATAATAACCTATAATAGGGTCTGAAAATGATTATAAAAATCTTGTCCAAAAAAATTCAGCAAACCATGAAAACCTTTTGGTTAGTATGGCTTAAGCTAAAATTAATCATGACTACCAAAGAAAGGCCAAAGTGATTTTCAACATGCTGCTGCGAATGTGTGGGCAGACATGCTTTTGTGTTCAACGCGACAATTTAATGTGTCAATTTAGCAGGCATCACCTCTAATCGTCTGAGAATACACCACTGTGCTTCTGAGAAAAACAGCAGCTCAAATCAACACGCCATATGAATCACACATACTGATGCGGACATGTATGTTTCCTCAAGTACCAATAGGTAGTCAAGACCTATCAGACGCATCCCAATCAAACATCATCAGCTAGTATAAGGGTCAAACAAAGCCTACTGAGAAGTTTGACAATGACAGGCTTTAAGCTCATCACAGGTTGTAATCACTATGATTGCAATAGCTTCACATAGGATGACCTCAGAGATGACAGTTTAAGCTTCTATACACCTCAATCTCACTACAATTTACTTGGAATAAAATGGTTAGAGTAAAGTGACGTTCCTGCAATCAGTGGGGTGTGAAATGACGTGTTGAAGATGTTTTCATACCTGTGCTTTTGGATGGTGGAGGCGGCTTCTTTGGTCTCTGTAGAGGAGAATAAAAAAAACATGATATGAGAATAAATGGAGAGGTCCCACTTAATGTCAAGCAACTACATGTAATTACATCTGTAATTCATTTCTGTAATTATATTTATAATTACAATGTTAATCTATTTCACCTTAACCCACCCATACCACCCTTATTCTACCTGTATCCCAGATTAATTGCCCCATAACTGTTGTACAATTCGATATGAACATCATAAGTGTATAGTAATTTTCTGAGGCAAGTACCTACAGTGGCAGTCAAGGCCGTTTAATATAAAGAGGAACTAACTAAAAAAATGGGACTGAGAATTTAAATCCTGTAAATGAAAAATCTAGGCCTGTGAAAAATTGCAAACTAATGGTATATTAAGACATAAAATAAAAAACATTTTTTGGAAAAACTATGAAATCTTTCATGAAGTGTGTAATGTAACTGCATAGATTAAATATATTGTGATTTAGAGCTTTTTTTCTTCCGAAAAAAAGCAAATGGTCAGAAATGTTAACGTTTTAATAATTTGTATTAAATAAATTAATATAATATATCATGATCAAAAATCAGTACACCAAATACTGCTTTCTTCTAAAGTTTGATACAGTGATGTCAAAAAATTACTATTTACATATAAACATCAGAATTTTTCTATTTAAAATAGTAAAAAAATTAAATAATGCTACTCTTTTGTCTACATTAACAGCACGCAAGAAATTCGGTTTACTTCAATCCTGGAAACCAGAAGGAATAAGGACTATCCACAAATGCAGAATTTTGTTCAGGAAAAATATCTACATATATATTACAGTTCATATTAATATGTATACAATCAAGACAAAGAGCTCTATTTTAACAATCTAGGTGCAAAGTCTAAAGTGCATTGAGCAAAAGCATTAAGGCCGTGTCTGAATGCACTTTTTTCAAGGATAGAAAAAGACGCTTTGCGCCCCGACGCATGGTCTAACGGTGATAAGCTTATTCTCTTAATGAGTTATGGTTGTGTTTTGAGCATAATGTGCATTAAACCAACCAGAGTCTTATCTCCCATCCCCTTTAAGAGTCAGATGCTTTGCGCCATGGAGCATTTGCTATTTACATGGCAGACTTTTAAGTGGGAAAAAGTTAAACAGATCTGCAGAATGTCAATAAATAACGAGCCTCCTCCATTCAGCCTCTTTCTCTTTATAATACTTTTACTCTTTACTCCTTTACTTTCATGTAAAAGAAAATGGTGTTGTACTCTACTGAAAACATCCATTAGTCTACATATTTAATTTCATTTATTATATGCAATGATTTGTTTCAAAACTATTTCTAAATTCAGAACTAATTTACAGCAAACAAATAAATGAACAATAATAAAAAAGTGTGGTTAAAAATAAATAAAAAGTTAAAAAACACATCCTATGCCCCATATGGTGATGCATACGCCTCCAAAACCTGACAAATCTAAACTTGTTTTTATTAAACGAACATAAATATGCATATAATAAACAATAGTGCTATTAATAATGACATTATACAAATGCAGATTGTCATGACTAAACTAAATAAAGCCCCCTGAGGTGAAGGCATGGAGGTAGTGGTAGTTATGTAGAAAATAATTATTTTTGTAGCATTTTAATCCTTTTTAACCTTTTAATAAAACTCATTTGTTTCATATGTAATGATATTTGTATATTGCTGTACATCCTGTGCACTGGACTTTAGACCAGGTTTCAGTTGGTTAATGGCGCAGTCTACGTGAAAATTACGGTTGGCTGGTCTAAAAATGGCAAAATACCCAAACATGTCTTGTGCCTTATTATGCTGGGTGTATGATAGGGCCCATGGTGTTTCATTTCCAGTCAATCTTAACAGACTGGACTGTCTGACCAATCAAAGCAGAGTATACTTTTGGAAAGGAGGAGCTAAGAGAGACCCCTGAAAAAAACTTTCATTAATAAATAAAACAAATCCATTACTGCATTAAACACTTGCCTATTTGCAATGATCAATTACAGTGCAACTAGACCATAAAAATAAAGCAAGCACCAAATGCACACATTTTCGAATTGGTGCAGCTGAATGAGAGACAATGTTGCTTTTTCTTTTTTTCTGTTCAGTGAAATAGAAAGAACATATTGTGAGTGGAGTGAGTGAACTAAAATACATGTTTAGAATATTATTCCAGAGTCTATTTAATGGCATTTCTGAATATATTAATAAAATGTGCCTCGTGCTCTAATGCGTATCGGTGTTATTTTCTCCCTCTCAACATTGCAATTTCAACCTGGTGAAACATATAATCAGAGTTATCTAAATTACCAGAGTAAAAAAGAGAAAAAAAATGGTATATCAGAAATACAAAATTGAAGAATCTATTTTCCACATATTAACCTGCATGAGGCTGTGTAACAACTAATAATAAAGAGCTTGTCAAATTAAACGGATGATGCTAGAAATACCCAAGCCTCCTCTTTGATAGCTCCAAGGATCTCTCAAAATTTCACTGCCAATGAATCAACTGCACTGACTGGCAGAAGAAAATTAGCTCTTGAAACAAATAGCACAGCATGAGAGCGACTTCAAACAACACTTGCCAGTGTATGCGTGTGTGAATGTGTAATTTGTATGCATATGCACACATGTAATTTGTGAATTTTAATGGTCATATATGGGTTCTACCAAAGATTGAATTCATAATTTAAACCACTAATATCCAAATAACATCTCAATTAAAAGGGACAGTTCAGCCAAAAAAAAAAAAAAAAAAAAAATCACAATTCTGTCATCATTTAATCACCCTCCACTTGTTTCAAACCGTTTTGAGTTTCTACTGTTAAACACAAACAAAGATAACCTGTGTAACCCGCTATATTATTCGTTTTTTTCCTAGAGAAGTGGATGGTTACAGGTTTTGAGCATTCTTCAAAATATCTTCTTTTGTGTTCAACACAAGCAAGCAACTGTAAATGTAAGTAAATGTTCATGTAAACATTTATTTTTGAGTTAACTATTCTTTTAAGCCATTTAAATAATTTTTAAAATCTTTAATTCATATTTTTAAGGAATTAATCTAATTAGAACAGTGAGGACACTTGTTTAGTGCAAATATCTAGTCAAAATATTCTACCTGATGGCATAAATTACCCTAAAATAACCACTAACTACAAAATCCCTTTAAATAAATCTGGCCACAATCAAGGAAAGTGTGTGTGCTCCTTAAGTCAGCGGTAAATGACTCGAGTAATCACACTTCCAAGAATAAAAAGGGACCCCAAGCGACACACTGCAGTCTTATTTATGCATTTAAATCATCACAGCAGGGCAGGCTATACAATGGCCTCTAATTGGGGAAGGAACAAAAGAAATCGGAGGAAATAAAAATGTAGGTAATTTAAGCTTTATAAAATGTATTTCCATTTGCATAAATATGCACTTGTATACTGGTTATTTCAATATATTGCTTAAAAAAAACAAAGACAAATTCAGCAATAGTGGAACCTTTGCTAGAAGTAGAGAATGATTACCTTATTATAAATGGAAACTCTTCACAAATCAACACATTGTACTACAATACAGGTTTTACATAACAGTCGTACATTGTTGAAACTGCTCTCACAAGTCGGCTCAAGCAACCGCAACAGTTCACGATTTGGAAGAAATTACAGCGAGACTGTTTCTAACCAACCCTATCTATGAAAAAATCTGTTTTAGGCCAAAGAGAAGCAAAACAATTTCCTCTCCCTCAACATCAGAGACATACCTGGAAATCAAGGGCTGAGGGGTTAATGTTCAATCGCTTACGGCTGACTGAGAAAAACAGGCAAATCCTGCAGATCGGATCTCTTTGTTCGAATGTAAAATTACAAAAAAACCTAATGAATTCAAATGTTTTACCATTAGATTAAAAACAGTTTAAGCAGATGTGTTTATCTTTTATAATAACAGTTCTGGCAACACCACAGTTTCATATTGAACTTAAATAATTTGAAGCTTCTCAAAGTAACTAAGGGTTTGATGGCCTTATCACATCACAAATGACAAAGATATGATTAAGTGAGTTTAGAATGCTGCACTGTCTTCTTTTTCTCGACTCAAAAAACAAACATAATAAATATACTAAATAAATACAGTATCATACACATCAATGTACTTATATACTGTATATTGTGGAATAAAAGTCAAAGCTTTTTCTCCTAAAATGTAGCTTGACTATTATAAAGTGACTTACAGTACACAATGTTATTACCATCATCTACTTTTGGTAATTGTATCGTCCTAGCACATTTTATCACATAACCGCTGGCTAATAAATTAATATTTTTTATGTTATTATATCTAGTAGTGATTGGTATATATATACATATATATATATATATATATATATATATATATATATATATATAACCATATATAGGCTATAATTACTGTGTTTTTACACTTGCAACGTTCTTGTTGTGGAGTGGGAACTACAAATGCTTATGATTGTAAGCCTTCAATTATTTTTACTGCTGTCTGTACCCTATTCTATTTATAAATATTATATATTTTTTGACTTTGAGATCATCAAAAATAATCAAGAAAAACATCAATAATAATATTTTTATACTACTGCTTTTTAATGAATCTGGCTTCCTAAACTACCAGTGTGAAAGCAATATAAACCGAGAATGTAAATCAAAACTATAACATCTGGCTGTTTTAACACTACACCAGGGCTATTCAAACAGTGTGATCAATACTTAAAAAATAAATTTAGTTCAGTCAAAAAAACAGTCGCTATAGTTTCGAAGTGACGTGCGTCTGTGACATGAGGCTGCGCAGAGAGTGAGTCACCTGACATTAAGCGAGTGAGTGGCGCAGGCAGCCAAAAACATTTGGATATGTTTGTAGAAAAGGCCTTTGTACAATGCACTGATACCGTTAATAGGGATGCAATGATTAGCCGATTTCACTACTAATAAAATTTAAATTCATTATGGTTAATTAATCGTTAAGGCTTCTCATTGCTGCAT